ATTATTCATCTACTTCTCACATTCCGTGAATAGCCGGCATTGAGGAATATCCAGAAAAGCATTTAGGGAATTGGTCTGATTCTATCTCTATTCGTTTCGTTTGAAGAAAGGAAGGATCCCAAAGAATCGATCTTTCTTTTAGTTGTTGAATCTCTCTTTGATTGATCAATGTGTGATATTCCAAATCCTCATTACTAATGGAATCGAAACGATCTCTGGATTGATCAGAAGATCCTTTCAATTGGCTAGAATCCGTTACTTGAACGAAACTAGATCTTGTGGAATCATATTGAATATTTGACAAGACATTCCGTACCTTGCTAAAATACCGATCCTTGTTTACCAACCACACATTGTCTAACCAAATCCAATTCTCTCTCGATATGTTCCTAAAAAAATCCGATTCATGCAGATTCTTCCCCCAACTAAAGAAGAGATCTTGGCGGAATTGCCACATATGAAATGCACAATTTTTCAAAGAAATAGCCCACTTGTTTCTCGATAAGAGATGGGAAACATGCTCAATATCATTTGATTGAATAGTTGACCCAACTCCTTGTTGTTTGAAGAAGCCCTCCACTTCAATTGGTATTTTTTCACCAAAAGCAAACATGAGATAACAAATCCAGTCTTTCACTAAGATTTCAAATAGTTGTCCCGAATTCAAGTTGATTATGTTTTGCCTCTTCCTCGGAGAAAGACGATCAAACAATTCCCAATCATGGTCCTTGCGGATCTGATCATCCATATAATATACAAAAAAAAAACTCCAGATATTTGATATCTTTCTCTTTAAATGAGATCTCAATTCCAGAGTGACGGTTTCATTAGATATCTTACAACTGGAATCCCTCTTTTTTTCGATCCAGTCCTCCACCACCGCGAACCCTAGTTAGATTCAGGCATAATATACTTTTTAGTTATTGGGAGAACCCAAGTACTCTCTTTCGAATCCAGGAAACAACTCTTAGAGATCTTTTTTCCTTTTGGAAGATACAGGAGAGAAACAATCAACCTATTGATATTGGAAGAGCCAAAAAATTCCAATGTATCATTTCTAGGTCCAATGAAATTCATAGGTATAGGAAGAAACCCTGTCAAATAGAGATTTTTTCTTTCGACCATCTTTCAATTGTTAATATGATATATAAGGACCGCTACTACAAATAGTACTACACCCTTGATCATGAAATATCGATTGCTTGTTGAACCCTGTGAATTGCGTGAAAGTAGGATACTCCAAATTCGGGAGTCTAAGAGTTTTATAAAACGTTCTTGATGGAAAAAATGTGAATGAAAGATCCCACTGAATTTAATTGGGTCCATGAATCTAAGAAATAGTAAGAATTCTTGATCTCTAT